TCGTTATGAAGCTTTTGTTGCTTTCCAATGTAAAGATTTTATTCGAAAATAGTTTTCTAAGAGAAAATTTGGCAATTTTGTATGAATTTTATCCTACGAATTATATTAAAAAGTTATAACTTTCTCTTTTACGTTAATGCGGAAAAATTCTGTGATAGAAAAGAGTGCACAAAGCATGCACGTATAGAAAATAAAAATGCACCTAAATTGAACTTGAAAAATATGTTTTCCATTATGTATGCAATTTATAATTAAAATATTCTATTCTATTTCCAAGAAAAAGAAGTTTAAGTGCAATGGGAAATGATTTAACGTTCGGAAAATGTGTGTGTTCTTTAAATTGCACGATTACGAACACCTGTTGCTGCTATCTTAATTGATATAAGTGTAAAGTCAGACATATTTTGCATAATCTGCGATGAAACATGATCTGCATTATTAAGTGCATTATAAACCATGTAGAACGAGACATAAATGTGTTTCAATTTCTATCTACAAAATTTTATCGCAATTGATAATACTTCGTATAATTTCATTCCAACCTCGAAGTTTTTCGAAATGAAAAAATGAAATTCAAGGTATCAAGTTTAAAGTGCATCTTCCAAGAGTAGCAAAATGGAACAAGAAGAAGTTACGTTTGTTTTGCAAACTCTGTCTACATCGTTACTCTCCACAAGATGTCATTTTCAAACCAGCTAAACCGTACTTGCAACTTAGCAATTTTAAAATTACAACCGCTGGCACGTCCGTATCGTAAACAGCTAGATTCTAAACCACCAGCCCGAGGAGCACAGTTAATTCTGAAAGGTATATACCTTCGCGTCAACTGTCTGCTCCAACGTATCCGCTTACCGCATGAGAGGTTCGCGATTATAATCGACAATCGTAAGAACTGTGGCTTTTTCGAGTGGACGTTTTTTCTATTCATTCGAGCTTAAGGGATCTTCCTACTGTGACGGCTGAGAAAGACTTGGTTTTTCGGTAATTTAAAACACAGCAAGTGCTAGACGTATCCTTTTGCAAATTTGTGTGCTTATTCTGTCATCTTTTAAGAACACAGAAATATTTTTTACAAGTGAAAATATTCATTTGTTGTGAAGTAGGACCGCTGTGAAGAGAGCGCCTTGAAAAATATCCTCCGCGATGGCTGACGTGATATCAGACGTTGCACTTGTCCAAAATGCAAGTATATTCTTAATCTATAGACGCGTGGCTATCGTCTGAACTAGAATAATAAAGAAATAGCGAGGTTTCAAAGAAATTGCTTGCGATTTTAGCAAAGAAATGATGGTTTTTTGACCGCAAAGACTGAATTTCGAAAATATTCGCGCAGTTCTAGTTCAGGCGATAAAGCAACATCTGCTGAATATACCTGACAAATTTGGAGTGGATCGGAATTCTGGTTTTTTGGTAATCATATCAGCCAGTGTAAAAAATGCTGTTTCGAGAAGAACACGTTTCAAGTTTTAACTACAGTTTAAGACTACATAAAACCGCGTCCTTTGAAGGCATATGTCTGCCAATTTTCAGAATTAAGCTTCAAAACTTCGTGGACATATTTTCGAGATGTTAAACTATAAGAAAATAAAAAAAAAAAAAAAAAAAAAAATTGATTTTTTCAGCCCATCGCAGTAGGAAGACCCCTTTTACTTTTCAGCTGATTTCACGATTTATTTTCTAGGCGATAAAAAAAAGTTGCAATATGGATGCTTTGTATATATCTTTATTCACCTTTCGGCTGTTTAAACTCGTTAACAAAGACTCGAAATGTTTACAATATTCAGAGTTACAAGCCGCGGCGTGTGAATGTCCTTGCCGACTTGTCCCAAGGCTGGCGGCTTTCTTATTGGCCAGAAAAAATTGAACCAAGCGTTTTTTGAATCCTTAGGAATGTCGTTGTCGCTATCAAAATTGAAATCACTGCAGAGCCTTTAAAAGGCTCCAGTACGTTTGGCCACTTTAGCTACATGTTAATTTATTGTGAAACTCATGCATCTGTATAGCGAGGTACAGTATTCGAAGCAATAACGAATTAGCTTATGCGGTCTTAACGTTGCGTGAATTAGGCTCAATAAAAGGAATAGAATTACAATAGAAGAATCTTTATGTTGTGTAACAACTTAAAAGTTAACGAACGTTCACTAATTGTTTCTTGTTTCTGCCGATAGTATAAGCAAAATAAGACTTGTAAAATGTAGATAAATGGATGTCACTTGGAAAATAATTAACGAAGACAGAGAACAGATCTACGGGCCTCCATAAATTTGTTCACCGCGGTGAAATAGAGAATACGTCGAATATTTAAATAAAATAGTACACTTCATTTCTACGTTAGTTCGGAAAAAATTACAAAGATCCGATTTGCAACCTTTTCTGCAGCAAGATCACCTCCGAGTGCAAAGGGTTAATACTCGCAAAGACCGGCAAATTCGTGGAATAACGCGTAACATTAGTCTATAATGGAACGTCTGGCAGTTCTTAACATTGAAAAACATTCGACTTTCTACGTGGTGTTATAGATCAACGATATACACATTAATAACGCAACGTCGAAAATAAGAAGTATCTCGGTGCAGTGTCCTTAACGACGTGCGTGGCCGTAATGACTCGAAGTACCGTTTGTTCGGGGAAAGCTGATCGCGGAATCGGAATGGGTTTCCCGGAAACGACGGTGGGACTTGCGCGGTCAGGATAAAGTGACGCGACACGGAGTTCGCGTGGCCGTCGATTTTTCACCGGTCTCTCAGGGCTTTACATAATGCATAATTAACGGTTATGCTGGATGTGCAGCGCGTGTCGTAACGCGATGCAACCGGGGGAATTGCGTTACCGTTGTAATTTCAAGCTGAGAGTTTGCTCGACCGCGTGACGCCGATTACCGCCTGAAAATCAAGAGCCTTTGTGAGTGATCGCGATAGAATGGGAAGTAGCTGTTAAAGACGTCAAATGGAACGGGGGGAAAATAAGGAAACAAAGTGTACGTTGTCAACTTTAGTCAGTGACAGGTATCTTTTTGCATCATTTCTCCCTCTTCCTCTTCCTAACAGTACCTTTACCTGTCTCGATAGATGCAAGTGCAATTGTGCGCGAACGATAATTCCAAGGAAATAGGTGTTTCGAGAAGAATTCGCGATTGCGCGAAGAAGATTGTAAAAAATACCAACGTTACGGGATGTTACGTTTATTTATTAGATCGCAATGTGTGAAATGTGATTTAGTCCTTTTTATGCGATTAACAGCGAGAATCGGTTGGCGATTTCATCCGAGATGCATTCTTCGACGAGCTTCGATTTACATAATTCACATAACTTTTGCGTCAAGTCCTATATTTGAATAAATACGCAGACTTAGGATATTTAATTGGATACACTTTTAATATGGAACGAACGTTAGGCACGGCGAAGATCTGTTCCCTTATGTGCCAGATTACGTTATGCTTCCCCCAGACTACGATATGTGACCTCGGAATTATATTTGACTCTTTCTTAATCTTTCATATTTTTTTTTGCAAATTGTGCGCCACATTAGGATACTTACGCAGGGACTTACCGGCTAACATTAGAAACCCTTTCACACTAAAATGTTAGACTCTTTGTTTGTGTTAGCACGTATTCAGCGTGTACAAGTGTTTAATTTAGTTTCATCGTCGGGATAAATCTTTGTGAATACCTTTGTGTGAAGTATCTCTCAAATCTGTAATTATTATAATATAATTTTTCTACATCGGTGGATTACTTTTCTTACGTGCTTTTTTTCGATTTAACTCTTTGCGTTCTATGTAATTTTGAAATAAATATATCGTCGACCTGAAACTATTATTAGATTTATGCAAAAGTTCCCGTCATATTTCTTTGAATTATTTTTTTATAATTATTTGTCATGAGAATACTAATAATATAATATTGACAGGGTAATTCCGGGAGAGACGGACCAGCCAATTATTTCCTACATTATCCGCCAAATGTGGAACGCGTCAGTATTCTTTTGTTTTACATTTGTTTTACGGAAAACGATCGAGCGTGGCTCTCGGTGTTTTTTCTTCCATATCTGGCGGATAATGTAGGAAATACTTGCCTGGTCCGTCTCTCCCGAAATTACCCTACTATATTCAGTATAAATACCAACTGTGAAAATTTAAATAAGAAAGAAGCATACAGTGCCTTTTAATGCCATCGATTTACGAGCCATGGAAACTTTTGCGTAGACCTAATATTTACAAAGAAATTTTTTCTTCTTCGATGATTAATATAATTGTACAATTTTTCTTACGTATAAAGTAGCTCAGGAAAATAAACGTTAGAAGTAGTCGCTACAGTGCCTCTAGAGTATAAAGGGTTAAATCTTGTGCATTCACCTCGAAATATGATTACGCTAATCCAGTTTCTGACCATGCACAATTTGGCGAACTGATTTGCATCAAATTTAGGAATTCAAGCGAAGACTGTGTGCGGTTATATCTAATAAACGTAGTGTCCAATAATTTCATTCTCGCAATATTCACTCGACGAATATTTTCTTCATAAACCAATGCAAATGCGTACTTTGCTTTTGCGAGAATGACTCTAGCCTACGAAGTACAATAAATTTGCAAACTTTATAGAATAACGCATGTTTCCTTCTAAAGATCGGTGTCTGGGCATTAAAGGAACATTTGCCTATTTTTACCTGTAAGAAAATTTTTGATTTTTTACTGAAGGAAAATTTCTTATTTTTAACATTTAGAAACAGTTCCCGACATCTGTCACCGAAAGTAGAGCGACCCTGAAGGGTTCAGGCGGCGTCTCTGGGTATCGGAGCAGTAACCATGTGAAAATGTAGCAAGCTAAGCGTGCTCGGAAATAGCACCGAGCTCCGTAGAACCGGGAAATCGGTCCATTTTGGTTGGCAATAAAATAGCTCGTCGATACGATCGGTTAGCCACCCTGTATAAGGTGAACGGTGTGACCTTCGATGCCTCTAGGAGGCTCACGTTCTCACTCTTTTTCCCTTTTCTGTTGCAGAGGTTTCAGCGTCAGTGTTTGTGGTTCGCAGCACATCTTCAAGCCTGTATCGGTACAAGCCATGTGGTGAGTCTAGTCTTTTCGTATTTCACGCCCTACGGTTTCCCCTTCTCCGAGGGTTGCCTGGTATCAAAATTCTCAACTACACTGCTAGCCAAAAAAATTGCATAAATTTGGAAATCACGTATATTTTTCGAGCTACTCTGAGGGAAAAATGACCATTTTTAACAAAATTTTAATCATATTTCCCTTTCAATAGCCCAAATAATATATGCAAATTTCAGATTTGTGCGATTTCATTTTCAAGATGTTGCAATCTCTTTGCAAACAGTGTAGCACAATACCTTTTAATTTCAATGTTCGTGGAATAATTTTAAGGTGTTGCAATTTTTCTGCAAACAGTATAGCACAATATTCTTTAATTTCAAAGTTCGAGGAATGATGATTTGTGCGAAATGTTTTGTCACTTTTTCTTCGAGGATTTTATAATGAACGGCTTGCACAATTTGATCAATTATCTCTTCGGAGCTTCTAATGGTAAGAAACGAGCCGCATCTCAGGCAAAACGCACACTTCCTAAAATCAATATCTCTCTTCAACGTAACAACGAAATTTCGTGAAAAGCAAATTCTTATCTAAACGAACAGAACTTCGTCAGACGTTCTAACAGGCCAGCAGAAAGTCTGGTTTAATCGACGACAGAATTTAATCCTAAATTCGACTAGACTCCAGCAAGACCGAAACGATGATAAAAATCATCACAGACCAAATGAAACGAGACGCGGTTTTTTTCACGCGCAGTTACTCCTGTTAAAGAAAACAGAACTGTCATTTGCCACGTAATAACGCACAGTATCTGTCTTTTTGACGTTCAACCTAAATTGAACGTTTCATTTTATCACGAGTCACGCGTCATTTCTGAAACGGTACGATTCAATTTAATAGAAACGATCATCGCGGTATACTTAATGATCGTGACTAATAAATAACCTCGTGTACTTACAATGGACGAACCGAGACGACACCCACGGAAGACGTATAGGGTCAGTCAATAGAGTGTATGAAAGGGTTCGACCAACGTAGGCGCGGGCCGTGATCGATGTTCTAAATGAAACTAATAATAAGCGCATCCCTTGCACACGTAACACGCACGTCTCTCCTTTCTTTTTCTAATAACCGCGTGTACGTTAGGAGGACTTGCGTTTCAAGTTGACACATTCGCTACCGCCAATTTTTTCCAGTTTCTCTGACTGGTTGTCGGCTAGGATAAAGGAATCTTGTAGCTGGTGGCCGCAGAGTTGTCATTAGGACAAGGGTAAAAATGAGGAAATTTGTGTTAGATGCCGTTAAATGTGATAACTCAGCGGCAACTGAAGAAGCATACGAAACGGCAAGAATTCACGTAAATGGTAACCGGAAAGAAAATTTGAAACGACGTGAATTTATGTCAGCGGCAACCAGAAAGAGAATTGTAAAGGACGTGGATTGACGTCACCGAATGTGTTAACCCATTTCTTTCCGTACTCTTCGCTTGAGGATCCTCGTTGCTGATCAATTAATTTTTCAAACAGCTCGGAAACCAAAGATCGATATTTGCACAAGTGTTATTAGTTGATCAGACTTGCTAAAAATATTTACACCTGTTGGTTATTCGGTTTGTTTTACGTCAAAACAAGAATATAACGCAATATTCTATAACGCAGAATGAACACAACGCAAAAATAAATAAATCTTGAGACAGCACGTGGTTACTCGCGTGGAGTTCACGAAAAGGAAGTAGGAGAAGAAAAAAAAAGAAAGAAGACGCAGGCAGTGGCCGCACCATAGGGCCTCACGCGATGGTGGGATTACTTCGTGGTGCGTTTACAATCACGTTGCCGCGACAAGGCGCGTTTGCATTGCTAACAATACCTTTACAGAATTGTTCTTTACGCGAGAGTTTCTTTAATAACAAAGTTAGATGTTTTGATCAAATTTAGTTAGTTTATTTATTTCTGGTCCTTTCGGGATACGGAATAGGCTGTTGGCTTACACATTTCAATGTACGTACAGTGGGTGATCAAATTATTAGAGCCACAATAGGAAACATATGTTTGTTGTTTTTGCGTAGAAATGAAATCACAGTATCAAGGTTTTCACACTGGATAATTTTCAATTAACGTTCACTAAAGATACATAAAACAGTTGAACTTAGCTGATGTAGTTATAAAAAATACAGTTGAGAAGTGACAATAAAGTCGGTGTTTGGTAGCCCTACCTTTTGCTGCAATCACAGCCTCGATTCTTTTTTCGATAGATTTCAAGCAATTTATTATGCGTTATAAGTAGTAAAAACACTGCAACAAAAATTAAAATGCTCGAGATCTATAAACCAACAAATCTGTAACACCTGGTTCTTAAGTGACGATTTGCAGTACCGATACAAAATAACGTCCATATGAAAAAAAATAATAAGAAATCAGTATAACTACGTTTCCATCTGAAAATTAATAGTTATAATGTAAAACCGTTAATTTCTCACAGGTGGCTCTAATAATTTGATCACCCACTCTATATGTAGCATATTTATACATACATATATCAACTCTAACCTATTTCTACTTAAATATCTTCCTAGTCTTAACATTGTCCTCCGTTTCCCCTTATTCAACTTCCCCTATTCTCACCCTTCGTTTTCTCTCTCTCCCCTCCTTCCCCCACCCCTTCTCTTATATCGTCCAGCCAGACCACCCATTCCTCCCCTTGTCCTCCTTCGCTTAAAATTGCTCTTACTCTCTCCGTCCTTCCTTCTGTTATCTCGTCCTTGCATCTTTTCATCACACGATCCCATGTTTCTCGTTTCCATCCACATACCCTACATTCTATACTCTGTTCAAAACGAGAGTAACCTCGCTTCGCTCATCGGACGTGCCTAAGGCAGGGTTAGAACCATTAGAACGTCCAAACCCCCACTTAACCGCCTACGTTTTTCTCCGTCTTACCTCTGCTACGCTCTCTGTCTCTACGCAGAACGGGCGAGGTTACTCTCATTTTGAACGATGTATACGTATGTACATTTCTTCTGTTCTTCTTCCAGCCAATACCACTGCTCCCTCGTCTCATTTTCTAGTATACATATATCTCTAACTATCCCTATTATTCACCCTTGCTTCCTTTTTTCCTTCAAACAGTTCAGCAATTCTTTCGTCCTTATTTCTTTGTATCACTTGTTCAATCTTCCCCACCTTAGCCTAGTTTCTTTCCCCCGGTCCTGTATTTTCTTATCTTTCTTTTCTAATTCTTGCGCCAGGTCCCCACTCTCCCTTACCCTTATCACCACTTCTTCCGGCGTACACTCACGTTCATAAGTATCAGGACACTTACGCCGAATCTGAAGCAAACCTAAACAGTCGTTAGAAAATTATCGAGATCGTGAATAAAAATATTCAGTCTGGAATGTCGAAGTGTAACGAGTACAAATATTTCTAGGGATATATAACATTGATGAAGGAATGTATAATTCAAATTATTATATTATAGTAATGATATGATATAGTATGTAAAAATAGTACACATTATGTACTATTTTCTGTAGGAACATAATGGACGTTTCAATACTTGTGAACAACAGTGCATATCGTCGCAAAAATCTTTGCTCTAGCTATTCCAATATTTCTCCCCTTTTCCTTCCCCTTATCTCCTGCAAATATCTATTCACAATCGTTCCTGCTTTTACCTTGCCTACTTTCCCTTCCATTCCTATTGCTCTCTTCCCCGTATTCATCCTCATCCTCCCTCTCTTTGTCCATTACCGTATACTCCGTATGCCGCTACAGTCCTAACGACCACCTTACACACTGCCTCTGCACTCCTTCCACTTCCTCTGTTTCCTCTTCCATCCCCACATTTCTACTCCCTACATTAGCACCGCGCTCGCCAACCTGTCAAGCAGAAACATCTTCTTTCTTCAGTTGCTCGCGAATCTTTTCCCTATTCCTCACAATTCTCTTGTGGCGGTACTTTCTATGCTACAATCAGAGGAACGGACTAACCATTAATTCTCAGTAGTCTTCGCTCTAGGTTCCCGTTTGTAGATATATACACAGGGTGGACGACCTAACGTGACCACCTCAATTATGGATCATCTTTGTTCTTAATCTTCGATACAATGAAAAAGTAATACTCTAACAGAATTTGCATTTCTTAACTGTGTGTCCGGTGATTTCATTTCTCCACTAATTTTTGTTCCTGACATTTTTTACTCGCACGAGAGTTCTCTCAAGAATACGAAACTGCTTCGTGTTTGCAAAGCAACTGTTTATTCGAGTC